GTATAGGGTAGGTTAAGATAGGGTTGGGTAGGGTAGGGTAAGTAGGGTTGGGTAGGGTGGATAGGGTTGGGTAGGGTGGGTAGGGTTGGATGGGTTGGGTAGGGTAGGGTAGTGTAGAGTAAGGTAGGGTAGGGTAAGGTAGGGTAGGGCTAGATGGAGTTGGGTAGGGTAAGGTAGGGTTGGGTAGGGTAAGTAGGGCTGGGTAGGGTAGGGTTGGGTAGGGTAAGTAGGGTTGGATGGGTTGGGTAGGGTAGTGTAGAGTAAGGTTGGGTAGGGTAAGGTAGGGTAGGGTTGGATGGAGTTGGGTAGGGTAAGGTAGGGTAGGGTAGGGTTGGGTAGGGTAAGTACGGTTGGATGGGTTGGGTAGGGTAGGGTAGTATAGAGTAAGGTAGGGTAGGGTAAGGTAGGGTTTGGTAGGGTAAGAGAAGGGAAGTTAGGATAGGGTAAGGTTAGGGTTTCCCAACCTAGGCAACTTTAGGATAGGTGGACCAAGTCCCAGAATTCCCCAGCCAGCTTTGCTCTTGGAGAATTCTGGGACTTGAAGTCCACCCATCTTAAAGTTGCCAAGATTGAGAAACAGAGAGTTGGAGGGGACTTGGGAGGTCTTCTAGCCCAACTCCCTGCTCAAACAGGAGCTCCTATACCATTCCGGACCCCTGGGTGACCAAACTCTTCTTAAAAGCCTCCAGTGATGGAGTGCCTGGTGCTGAAATTGGACCTGGAAAGCCTTGTTGTTCATGAGGATGGGGTTAGGGTTGGGTCAGTCCTGCTCCTCCTCACGGCTCCTCCTTCTCTTTGGGTCAGGAGTCCGCGTGGCTGAGCGTGTGGCCGATGGAGGAGGCAATAAGGAAAGGTGAGTTTGCAGGGGAATGGGGTGGGCCTCCCAGCGGTGGGGAGGGGCGTGCAACGGAAGCAGAGATGGCCCTGGGGGTGGGGTCTTCTGGGTGCCCCTTGCCTGAACCAGAGCAGAAATGATAATAATAATAATAAAGGAGAAGATCTGTAGCTCAGAGTTGACATGAGGGGTCCTTGGAACTCTGGGAGTTTGCTTCTTTTCATGCAGACGTTTCATGACCCAACTAGGTAACATCATCAGGGCTAGAAATAAGGTCTCTGTCTTAGGGGTCTTTCTTCCCATGGGGCAATAAAGTCCATCCTTTAAAAGCATCTAAATTGGGTGTGTGTTTTTTTCTTTGAGCCTTAACTCCTAGTCTTAACTCCTACCTGGACAGGTTATGAACATCCTTCCTTCCTTCCTTCCTTCCTTCCTTCCTTCCTTCCTTCCTTCCTTCCTTCCTTCCTTCCTTCCCTCCCTCCCTTTTCTTTGTTTCTTTCATTCTTTCCTTCCTTCCTTGCTTCCTCCCTCCCTCCCTTCTTCCTTCCTTCCTGACTCATTCATTCATTTATTCATTCATTTTCTTCTCCCTCCCTCCCTTG